CTGTTATGCAAGGGCACCTGGGAAGGTGGTGTAGTCACAGAGGAGATGTATCTGCTGCGCTGGGAAAGAACTTGCCACCATTCCCCCCCCCTTGTGCAATTTTATAATTACTTAGTGATTAATTTTTAAAATAGCATTAAGCATTTCAAATCAACCTGAATGTTCTACATTAAGCTCATTACTATTACAGAAATAATGCAATTAAGGTGGAGAAACATTGTCCTGTGACAGTGCCAAGCTCCTGAATCTAATCCATAAAGAAGCATGGACAGGAAAGGCATGGAAAATAAGTTTAGTGCACTTATCATTCACTGTTGTTATTTTACAATTGGAGATAATTTTAAAATAAATTGAATCATCCTTCAACCTCTTCCAATGATAAATGCAATAAAATTATAGATGTAGTCAATTTGTATCTAGTCTGCTTCACATTCCGGATTAGTACACTTCCTGTTCTAAAAACATGTTCTAAGTGAATTCTTTGAATACTATAAAAAGCTGTACTTTCACAGTTTTCCCACACATGGAAATACAGATGTAGCTAAGACCAATGTCAATCTACTTGCTTTCCACAAATTCACTTTTCCCATCTTTGTGCAAATTTTACTTCAAAAGTTATGGTATACCATAAGTGTAATATATTTGTTCTTGCAAAATTAATTAAGCTTTTTTGACAAGATGCTAAACAAAATCCTTCTAAAATATACTGCAGTATGAAAATAGATCAGCTTGAGTTTCTAAACAAGCTTCCTAAAGATCTAGGAGAGAAAGCTGAAGTCTTCAGTAGGCTACAACTTAAAACTGCAGCAGAGAAGAGTGTTAATACAGGTTTTCATTCTTCCTTGTTATTCTAAGAAAACAAATGTGTGCATTTCTTCCTAGAGGCTCTGCTCTCATTGATGTACTTAAATGTTTTAATAATTCAAAATACACCGAATTCTCTTTACACCCCCACATACCACCACTGGTTGATTAACATTGGAATGAAAAAACTAATATTAAAATGCTAAATAGATGCTTTAGCAGCCACAAGAACGCCAACATTTAAGTAAATCAGTTCTCACTTTCATGTTTCTCTAGTGTACTGAGAGAGATAAGAAAAGCAAACTGTAAGCTGTAGAATGTAAATTGACATAGGAACTGATACTCAAGCAGTAGAAGAAAGCACAATTTGAACACAATTTCATTTCATCGTTGGTACACCAAATACCTTAAAGTAAATTAAGTATACTAAGAAACTAAATCAAAGGAAATTCAATCGTGAGAGTCCTCTCAACTATCTTTTTTAAAAAAAAATGTAACTCCTGATAGAAAACACACTATGAACTGGACTGTAAAACCCAAAATGTTAGCTTGATAATACACTAATACTACAGACTAGCAGTTAAGATTAACAATCACTGAGCATAGCAATGCTGTTAAATGAGAAAGAGGACCTCAGACAGCTTTGCAGTCAATCATAGAATTAAAGAGAGATGTTATGCAAGGCAAATCTTTAAAATTCATTAATTATACATTAGCAGATAAAGCCAGCTATTATTGTAGCTAAAATAGCCCATAACAAGGTCTATTTCATAACTCCTCACGTGGGCACCTCTCTCATTTAGAGTTCTCAACCCCTTCACGCTTCAGAGCTTCTCCTCCATACACACAATGCTGCTCTTCCCTCCTCCCTTACCCTCCAACGCCGTCCTTTGAACAATGCAACCTCAGTACTGCCTCGTTTTGCCATTTAGATCTTCAGTACTGCAACATTTTCTTGCCAGAGTAGCACCTAGAAGAGTTAGAAAAAGGCATCTACCTACAGATGAATGCTTAAAATATATACCAGTGTTTACTTTACTAGTCCCACCAGATGATCACATCAAGAACCAGTGTAACTTGTTAACAAATGCACAAGACTGAATGAAAGATGGTAACTGATACCTGAATTCTAGATCAGTCCATAGACAAAGACTCAAATTGTGGTGCTCTCCAGAGACATAATACACTTTCATTTAGATGATACATTTATTAAATTAGAATGAAAAAGTTAATGTACTTTAGAGTGCAAGAAACACATTTGGACAATGGACCTCAATACAGAGAAACAATGTCTTCAGCATTATTACAGCAAAAAACATCCTCTGTACGGTATTACATATCAACCAAACAAGCAATAACATTTGTAAGGGCGAAAACATTCAGTACCATCAGCAGATGCAAAGAGCAGTAGAGAAGAAAGTAGCAAGGATCTAGCTAGACAAAAAATGTTCCTACCTTTAGCAAGGTTAGGCTATTGGCAGGACTCAAACTAGTACTAAGAGCACTAACTTTTAGCAGATGCCAGTCTTCTACATCTGGCTTTGGCTCTAAGCTGCTTGAAGGTGTTGAGCAGAAGAGCAGCATAAAACACAGTATTATCCCATTAGCATTTTGTCAAAAGCTACAATCATTATGAGTGACAATTTGTTTTAAATCAAGAAATAGACTTTCAGTTCCAATACCTTAACTTCCCAAACCCTTGAAAAACTAAACACTCCCTGCCTCTCTCCAATTTAAACCTGACAACAGTTTGACTGAGAGGATATGTACGTTGAAAAGCTGAGTAGGCTTATGATCAGTGTTTTGTTCTTTTCAACAATATAACATAGCACATCTTGACGTAAGAGTGTCAGCTATAATGTTTCAATAAATCAAGATTAAAAAAATCACCAGAAGTATAACATAACATGCTGAAATCCATCTACTGGCCATACTGCTCCTACATATCCAGTCTTCAACTCATACATCTACCCTGTTCTGCACAACATTTGCCTAGAACAAAACAAACAAAAAAATTCTAAGAACATGAGCCTCCCTCAGAGGCCCAGAGCCTAGTTTATGAACAAACCTGGCTAACCTAATATTTGCACTTACGCCTCCTGGTTGTTAGGATTGAAAAGTGTTTATTCTATGCCTGAAACTGAGCTGTAATAGGATGCAGTACATTCCCCCAGCCATTAAGTTGAACCATGATCACTTGCTTTTATAAAAAGCTGTATTACGGATCCTAACGTTTTAATATAAAAATTTAAATATATACATTTTCCCTGAATTGTTCCATCCCTAGCAACTGATGCTATCTGTGTAAAAGTTAGAGCAAGGGACTATTCCTGGAGATAACTAAGCATCAAATCCTTAATAAGATTTACCCTTTTGAGTGACGATATCGCACACCACTGTGCTATAAAGACCAAACGCCTCTACGCTTACTCAATCACAAAGTTTACCATGACTGCAGAGAAGGGGCAAGACTAGTTGCTTGAAGAACACCCATTTTATTTTAGAAAATAAAAATGTGGTGAATCTACAACTAAAGCACATAGAAACTATAGCCTTGAATCTCAGTAACTGAAAAGCCAATTAGAAGATGTATAAAGACACTTATGCTTCCAGTGGTACATTTAAGATGGTAAGGGATTCATATCAAAACTTAAAATCACACATTATGAAAAGACAGCTTTAAAAGTTCAGAAACTGGGATGATTTTTGGTGCTGTATTTTAAAAGTTTCAGTATCACTTTTAATAATAAAAAAATAAATTTTCATGTTCTACTGCCAGTGCTACCTAAAGGCTTCTTGATTATAGGGGAGGAGGACAAAATCAGCTTTTCAGCAGAAAATAAAGAAAATATTTTAAGCGTGGGACATGAAACAAAGTATGTGGAAGAAGGGAATACAATTCGCTTTTCACTATTCCAAACCTGACTTCAATCTTCTCATGAATCACTCAAGAGCCTAGATTTCAAGTGTACATTCATTCTAACTCTTGAAGATATAAAGCACTATGGCTATTGTATAAAGTATTTGAAATCAAACATTAAAAAGATAAAACAGCAACATTGCACGACTGGAAAAATAAACTGGCACATACTATTTAAAGTGCATTACTTTACCATCTACAAAAACAGACACCACAGAAATTTATCCAACAGGTGTAACTGGTGCACACGGTAAGATTCTGCAGCTCCAAAATGAACTATTACCCGAAAAAGGAATATTAACAATAAATAAAAGCCACCTCCAACCTCCTCTGAGGATCAGACTATAACTCAGATATGTTAAATTTTCTCTCACAAATTTATTTCCATCTGCATCAAACAATAAACTGACTACAGCAACTGTAGTCTAACAAGTCACTGAGCAACTCAATGCCATTCAAAGATTCTGAAGCTACTTTTCATGCTCCTTATCTCAGATTACAGGAAAAAATACCAGAGTTTTTCCACTAACATAAAACAATAATTTTGCTGAAATATAGGTGTAAAGAAAGCAACACCTTAAATAATTGTTCACGGCTTCAGTAATTTTCCAGTTATAAAAATCTTTCCTTCTGCACTTATCCTTCGAAATAGCCACGGGAATGCAGAAGGTAGTAGAGTGCAATTAACTGTGGGAGTACATTAGGGCCCAGTCCTGTCCTCAGCTACAGAAATACATACTGTAGGAGTTAAAAGTTACCTGTTAAGATTTTACAGATACATAACAACACCATACGGGAGGATAAAGCCCCAAATCCATGCCAGATAACATATTGCTTTGGTGCCCGATGAATAGATTGAACAGAAAACGCGCATTACAACAGCGCAACCTAAGAAATTTAGCCTATTAAATTAAAAATATTCAATCAGAAACAGCTGAATACATCACAGCAATATCTAAACACCACAGGACAAAGAAAGGGGCAGAAATAGGCTGCATGATGAAATATGCTAAATACTTTAACAAATCAGTTATGTTTAAAGAGCAAACCCTCCACAGAAAAAAAAAATTTTCAATCTAACAAACAGTAGTAAATCCTGTACTGCATAGACTTACTTTGTAAGAACAAGTTTATGAAAAGGGGGAGAGGAAAAAAAAAAAAGTAGCTTTACTCCCCAATCCATCAGAATATAGCCATAAAGGGCACAGCTGATAGTAAAGATGCTTTAATACTATATTGCAGGACACAAGCTAAACTGAGTATGTACAGATTGAGAAAGAAAGTGAAAAAGATCCAAACGTCCAAGGAGAAAAGGGGTGTAATCTTTCATACAGGATGTGCCAACAGAAAGCTGTTGGGAAATTCTTCCTCTAGCTAAATCCCTGGCTTGGCAAGTAAAAATAAGTGGCATCAAGGATGGGGACTATGCTTGAAGTGGGGATCTATGATTCTTCAGCCATCTGAAGCAAGGAGTTGATAGATGCATCCTTGTTCCCCCTCTGAGCTTCCAGCACTGAGCGGATCACTTCCCTGTCCATGTTGGGAAACATGTCCTGGATAGATTTCAGGTCCTCTTCATTACACAGGTGCTGAGGGTTGACCGCAGGAGGTGGTATTGTCACTGGTACCATGCCTGGATTACAGACTGCAGGCATCCCTGCAGGCAAAAAAAAAAAAAACAAACAGAAGAAAAAAACCAAAACATACATGAGTGGAAAAAATAAAAAAATGTCGATGATTTTGAAGAAGAAAGCAGCTCATGACTTGACAGCTTTTTTTTTTTTGAAAGGGGAATTCCAAGAAAAAAAAAAACAAACCTAAATTGCAGAGATTATACCCAGACTCTTTAGACTACTGCAATCAGAAGACATTTTTCTGCACCAGGTTCTGCCCAAGTTATGTACAAAAGTGCTAAACTACATTTTGTCAACAAGTACAGCTCAAAATTAAGTACAACTTGCATTAACCAGGTTTACACATAAATCACTAAACAGTAAGTGCACCACAGAAAGGCGCAGTTCGTTTTTTCCCCCCACTCCCATCATATTTTAGTTCCTAGTCTATTTATGTTGTGATGAAAAAGATGGTTTTACATCAGCAATATACATAACTAACATTTAGAAATTCAATTAATGCAATCTCCATTGCATTCAAAGAAAAGAAAAGCACTTAGGTCCACTCGGAGTCTGGACCATACTCGTAAACAAATTTCAAGCAACTGTTTTCCCCTGGTTAAAGCTCCACCCAGTTCAGCCTGCAAAGTCACAGACTGAAAAAAGAGCAATTCCTTTTATGCCTATAGGAGTGCAGACTGCTTTTCCCTGTTCCTATGCCAGAGAACAAAATTCATCTGACTTTCATGAACTTCTTGTATTTCTGTGTAAAATTAAAGCACTATCAGTTTACAAAGACAGTTTTAGAAAATGAGTTTTCTAACTCCTGTTAGCAGGTATTACCAGACAAAAGTCCCTTTTCATCACTTAACTTTTATCATTAATTAAGCATAGATCCATTGCTGAAAACTACCATTTGTTTTTATAAAACTAAAATCAGGTATAGTATACACCTAGAGTCTTTTGTTATCACTTCTGACAATGGCATATTTCACTACTTCTCTAAGTAGTTCCAGACCCCTAATTATCTTAGTCCCACACTGCTGTGCGTTACTTTTCCAGTTCTGCTGTATTGTTTCTAAGGTAGGGAA